AACGTCCTCCACAACTAGACTGAAGAACAAAAGGACAGCAACTTGTCTGTTCCCCTTCCCCCAATTCCCCAGCACTGTTCCCATCCCCCCAGTCCCCAATTAAAAAAAACAAACAAAACTTCTCCTACTTTGTAGCTTGTTATTGTAGGTCTTTTTATGATATCTTTTCATGAACAGAAGTTCTTAAGTAGGGTCGAATTAATCAACCTTTTTCTTTATAGGTTGCATTTGCCGTATCTTGTATGATAAAATCTTCCCTACCTTGAGTTTATAAGGATATTCCCCTGAAAATGTAATAGTTTTGCCTCTTTAGTACATGTTTAAGTCTTTAATTCATGTGGAATTGATTTTTGCATGTATATGGTAGAAGGTAGAGATCCAATTTCTTCTTTTGGTTTTACAAATAAATAACCCATTGTCCTAGTATCATTTATTGAAAAGCCTATCCTTTCTTCATGATCTATAATGCCTGCTCTGTTATAAAGTAAGTTTTCATATATGTGTGGATCTGATTCTGAGCTATTATGTCCCATTGGTCTATTATTAATCTGTCCTTACACCAATATTACAATCTCTTCATTAATATGGCTTTATATTTAATATTGACACTTAACTGGACAAATCCTTCCATCTTATATTTCTTAGATACTTGTTACTGTCAGACTTTTCTTTCATGAAAATTTTAGAATAAGCTTGGCAAATTTCATGAAAATACCCTACTAGGATTTTTATTAGAATGTTAATAAATCTACAGATGAATTCAGGGAGAATAATGCTTTGCAAGCATATATTCCAATCTAAGATCATGATATTTATTTAGATTTTCTTTATTATTAACTGATTATAATATTCTCCAAAAGAGGCTTGTACATTTTTTGTTATTCATTAGTATTTAATATTTTGGATTGCTCTTTGAAATAGCATATTTTTCTAAATACCTGTTCTAGTCCTCGTATCTCTCCTTCATTTCCTTGTCTTACTGCAGTGGCTGGACATCCAGTATGATGCTGACTAGAAGTAGTGATAGCAGGTTTCCTTGTATTATTCCTAATCTTAAGAGAATGTTTCAACATCTTACCACTATGTATGGTGTATCCTACAAATTTTTTGATGGGGAACCTTTGATTAAAGAAGTTCCATTTCACTCTTCATTTGCCAAGAGTTTATCATGAACAGATATTAAATTTTGTCAAATGCTCCCTCCTCCCTTCCCAATATCTTGGAATGATGACCATGGTTCCCCACACCCCTTTTTAAAGCTATTACATAATAAATTATATAATCAGTTTTTCCGATATGAATTAAGCTTGCATTAGTGGGATAAAGCCAACTTGGTCGTATACATTGCTGAATTCAGTTTGCTAATGTTTACTTGAGTATTTTTGCTGGTTATGACTGTCAGAGCCATCCTTTAAAGGAATCAAAAGGGAGCAAAAACAGACACAAGAAAATGTTAGGTGGTATTTCAAATTCTACGGTGTTTCACTGCCATCTTGTGGCAGGAAGCAATATCAGCAGCATGTAGCTTTAAACTCTTAGCCAGGGTGTTTCACAGTTAGAGACTTTACACATCATGTAGTGAAGCTCTTCAGAGAAAGCTGGGGAAAAATTCCACCGAAATGATACGCTGAAAAGTAGTGGAAAATTTGAGCCTGTTTCAGATGCCTGTGGTTCAATCCATGGATTAGCTGCTGAGAGGCAAGCTCTTCAGATAGGGTTTCTCAATTTCAGCCTAGTCATTAGTCAACCAACTCTCACTATACAAGGTCAAGAAAACATCAACGGGGAATGCTAATCTCTACTAGAAAAATTATCTCAGCCCTTTCCCAGAAGCACATGGATTCACAATCTCATCAAGCTGTGTTTTGTTGTTCTTTCTGAGGCACAAGTAGGATATAGAAGTTTAGTTTTCAAGGGAGTGGTGAAAGGAGGAAGAGTTAGTGAGGATGAACTGTGTCAGCTGTTGCACAGTCAGTCCCACAGGGAAACTTTCTCAGATACAGAGTCCCCAGGAAGAGGCTTACCGTTCTGGAACTGTGTCTCTACTCGCAGGTACTGCCGCAGCAGGTCCATCACCACAGCCTTCATGTGGCCTCGGATGCCACTTCGGTACCTAAGCAAATAGAACAAGTCTCCACCGAGAAACCTAACAGGCTAATGCTATTAAATAATAACAGACTATTAAATAATAAACCCAGAGCCCAGATTTACTTTCTAGACTTCCTACTGAACTGTTTTCCCCCTGAATAGATGGCAGCACTGGGGCAAGCCTAAAATCAACTAACCAGATTAATTTAAAACCCAAGCCTAAAAGAAATCTGTCTATAGACAAGATTTTTCTATAAAGGAAAAGAGAAAAAAGGAGAACAAAACAAAACTGAAAACCACTTAATAGGCCTACCTAACAACAGCCTGGTTCAGTTCCCACTGCTAAGTAGAAATGATTACCGCACCCTTAAAACAACTAAGAGACATCTGAAAAATTTATGAGTATCTTAAAGTTGAAAATGTTCTGTGAATATTACATTTGTCCAATAGTTGGCTCCATAAGCTAAGAAGATATGTCACACTGGGCCCTGTGCCAGAAGTAAAATTAGGGGTTTCATCAAATTGTTAAGAGAAAATAAAATTTGTGTGCCTTAATAATAGAATAGAAAGCAGTCATCACAAATACTGAGTATAAGCGTTACCTTGCAATTCTAAGAGATTTAGAAGATGTAAGGTATTTTCTAATCTATAGGTGCTCTCTAATTTCTCAAAGTCAAACTTGAAGTAAATCCCTTTGTGACTACTAAGAAGAAAGGAATGTACTGGGATGGGCGGGTCTGGGATTCTGGAGTTGCATGTAACTACCTCTGGACCAGCTGGACAATGCTCTGAGTGTTCATGAAGAAGACTTCCCGTTCAGATTTCCGGTTCAATGTGGCCGCATGGCTATCTAGAATGTTGGCAATCTAAAGCATAAGAAAGAGAAAAAAATGAAACCCAACCCAGCAAAGGGTCCCAAAGCATTAACCTGTAGAGCATCACCACTAGGGATCTTCTTAACTAAAACATGTCAATTTCTATCTTTCTTATGCTGGGAGCATCTGGGAGTTACTGGGCATAGTTTAGAGCCTGGGTTAAATAAGCAAGCAACCTGTATTTCTTTTCACCCTTTCCCAGATGAACTAAGGAGTGAATCACAAAAACTACCAGAGGTCATGACAGGCAAGACATGCTTAAGGTCAAAGTCCAACTTGACTCTCCGCTTGCCTAGCTTTACTTCCAACATATAAACTTGCTTTATAGGCAAAGGGTAAGCGTGATGTGAGATAGTAAGGAAGTCTCGGATAATAAAACTGCAAATATCCCTCTACTTTAAATTCACAAAAATACCTCTAATTAGGTATTAAACCAAGAACAAACCTCTGTGGAGTACATGGCCACTATGATTTTGCAAAAGCACAACATCCAGGTAGTAAGGAGGAGCCAAACAGGAAGGAATCCTATACCAGAAACTCCAGTGGAAAATGAGTGGTACTGTGTAGATACCTGCTGGCTGGGAAACTGACAGAGGACTGATGTGATGTTGCTAGCATACTGAGCCATTTCCTTCTTGATAGACTTCTCCACATTAGGGGGGATGCGGCCAGAGACACTGGTCATGATATCTTGCAATTCTAGAAGAGGTAAGGAGGGATCTCTGAGGGTCTTCATCAACCGCTCTACCCAGTCTTTTACCTAAGGAGGAAATAATAAAATAGGATCCAGACAAAATTAACACAATCCCCAAAATAAAACGATAATATCTGAATTCACTATCACATTCACTTTGAAATTGCAATATAAGCTTCTAACACTGCCCTTATTCTCTGGTTTAAAACCAATTAGATGGGAAGTCTATGACACGGATAAGAAGCAAGGAGTTAAAGACTTCAAATCCCACAACTAAAGGTGAAAGCGGTCCAGGCCAAATAGCTTTCTTTCCCTCCCTCTAAAAAAAAAATCCTTATACAACTTTCAAACTATCTCGGAGAACAGGTACCTTACCTTATTTGTACATCCCTTCCCCAAGAGAAGTAATTCATACCCTGCTGCTAAAGAAAGGATCTGGAAGGCAGTATCCATTCATTACGTTGACCAGGTTATCCAGGACATAGTGGAACACTCGATGGAGCTTCTCGCCTCTGAACGCTGTGCTCTGGATCTGCGGCAGGCTACCCGTATGAAGCTCGGCCTGTCGACCCCAATGAGAAATCAAGTCACCCATTACCTTCTACTCAGGGTACAAAAATACCACTGCAACTTAGAGTCATCCTTCAAAATCAAGACATCCCTTCATCATACACAGCTACAAGGGGAGAAGTCAATGGAGGAACAATCATGAAAAAAAATCATAGAATCTTAGTATTGTAGTAACTTTTGCAAACTCCATTTCCATAATGCTATAGGCACAAATACAAGGCATAAGATCAGGGGGGAAAGCTTATGAAAAACTGGCAAAGCAAGCATTGAGATTTCAATGCTTTTGAAATCTGAGATTTGTCCCTTCAAATTACCCCTACCATGTAATCAGCTCTTAGAGAGCAATATTAAAAGTACCTTCCTACTCACCTGCTGGACCTTGCTGGGGTTATCCAATTGCATTTTGGCTATTACACAGCCAGGGTCAAGAGCTGCTCCAGGCCGCTTGACATAATGAATACAGCCAGACTCTATAGCTGTTAAAGTCATCACCATCTTCATCACCTACAATGAAAAATAAATAAAATTAGAGTTTGGCCTTTCTTTACACAGATGAGGTCAGTTTTCCCCTCAACATTTAAGTTGGACTATACCTTATTCAATCCAGGAAAATGAGAATCTATCAGCATCTCCAAGAGACTACTATCAAGGAAGCCTTAGAAAATCTCTCAGAACCTAGCTTTAGGGATAAATGACAGCTGCTGACATTTCCTGTTTCTAACGTTTAAATCTATTTTGTCATAGTTTGTGTTTTTACTTGTTTTGTATTTAGAAGTGATGAACAATTCAGCCTCTTCATACCTGTGGGTCTAGATGCTCACTCTGTCTACTGAAGATATGCAGGCTAAAACCCAAGGATCCTTCTTCACTCTTCTTTCTCCCTTATCTGCCAATTAATTACAAGGCTCAGCCAAGTACTCTTCTAAACCTCACTCAAAAATCTTCTCTTGCCACCTCTTTGGTTGAGACCCTCATCATTTCTGGCCTAGAGTACTACATACCCTCCCAGCATATTTTCAAGTAGGAAATTTTCAAGTACTTGCTATACACCTCCAACAAGGTCACTAAAAGCAATCATTCTAGAGCTCAGGTCTTGTCCTATACTTTTCCGTGTAAATCCTTCCATGATTCCCCACTGCCTTGCAGATAATCTAAGTTTTTTAGTATGTCTTATAAGGTCCTTCATGATCTCAAATTCTGTTCACTTATTTAGCATTTTTGCTTGCCATTTCCCATTAAACCTTAGTCCATTCTCAAGCAGTACCGATATGTACTTTCAGTTCCCTAAATATACCATACTCTCTTGCTTCTGTGCCTTTGTACATGTTGTTCTTCCACCTTTAAACATTCTTCCTTGCCCTTCTTCACCTGGTCCATTACTACGCATCTTTCAAAACTAAGATCAAAGTACCCTCTTTCAGGAAGTCTTTGCTTCCTCTCTGCCCACACCCATGCAGCCCCACACTGATTTGGGTTACGTGGCCCTTGTGCTTAGCTCTATCAGAATTCATATTTCATTACTTGTCTATTTTGTGGCCCCACTCTACCAATCATATTTTTCCTGCATTACCAGTACTTAGCACAATAGTTAACACTCATTAAGTGCTATTTGCTAGTATCTCTTTTTAGAGCCAGAGATTCCTCATCTGTCAAAGAAAAACTGTGAGCTTTTAATTTGTTGTTCAAATCTTAAGGTTCATAATTCCCATTAAACAAACAGGGGCTCTCTCCTTTCTATTTCCTTTCTGTTACTCTTCAGTCCTAGTCCATCGCAGCCAACCCTTTTCCCACCTTCCCATCCCATGACCCGAAAGCCCAATCATCACCCTGACCTCAATCTCAGCATAGCACTGGCCAGAAAACACGTGGCCTCCATCCTCCACAATGTACTGGATTAACTTCCCTGCAGAAGGTGAGCGCATCACGGAAGGGTCATTCTCTTTCTCAAACACACAGGTTTTATTGCCAATTGTGATACGATATCTAGGAGATAAAGTGGGAATATGCAAGTGAATAAAACACCTCAGGTTGTCAAGGACAATGGTAGAATAACAATCTTTAAAAAAAAATTGAAAACTTTATTCTACACACCCACATGCACACATGATATTAATTCCATCTTTGTTTACAATGCTAAATAACCAAAATTTCTTTCAGTAAAGGTCTGAATTTATTTAATTCAGATTGAATAAATTATGGTACATCTATATAATGGAATACTATATGACCATTAAAAAGAGCAGGCACCTCTATTTTTAAAAAACACCACCACAAAGATGATGATGATGTAACAGCTAACATTTCTTGAACCCTTACTATATCTGGGGCAATATTCTAATAAGCACTTTACATATGTTAATTCATTTAACTGCCACAACAACACAGAATGATTGGTGTTGAGCAGTCTATAATATACGTTAAAGAAAAAAATTAGGTGCAAAACGGTACCTAAAGGTTATTTTTATCTGTGAATTCATTTAAAAGAAAAACAGAGTATGTACATATATGTAACTAGTAGATCCACATATAAGTTTCTGCAAAAATACATAAGAAGCTGTTAATAGTAGTTGCTTATAAAGAGAGGAACTTATTTTTCATTGTCTAACCACATTGGAGTGGCAGAGAGACAGTGTTTTTTCATTGTAAACACTTTGGTCCTCTTGAAATTTTTGTTAAGTACATGTACTAATTTTTTTAAGTTAAAATGGAATATCACCCTCCCCAATTCCCCAACACTATTTCTCTCCCCTAATTCCCCAGTTAAAAATAAATAAATAAAATAAAATGGAATACCAAAAAAAGAGCTAGTGACTTCTGAGAGGAAAGGCTGAGGCGAGGACCAGCAAATGGACCTCCAACAGCCACTCACCTATCCACTTCCTCCTTCATGTACGTGGTGTAGCTGCTGCCATCATAGGACAGGAGCAGCCCTCCGTCACTCAGCCGATGCACATCAACTTCTACACAGGAGCCATTCATGATCACCACATAGGAGTTAGGGGACTGTCGAGTCACCTGTAAGGAATGAGAACCAGAAGGGACAAGTCAGTGTCCCTTCCAGGTGGAGTCCCAGACAAAATCCAGTGCCTCAAAAATATAGGTGGGGCCGGCCGAGTAGTTCAGTTGGTTAAGAGCTCGCTCAAGAGTTTGAGCTCTGAGCAACAGCAGTTCGATGCCCCGCCCAAGCTGAGCTGCCGCTGAGCTGCCAACAGGTGGCA